GCCGCGCGGACACGCCCCATCATCCCCATAAGCGATGGAGTTTTTTAAAATCGGAATTTCGCGTCAAGTTCATCAACGAGCGAAATTTTCAAAGCCATATGGCACCATAATTTGTACACGGTCTAAAATGCTATCGGGGTGCTATATAGTGGGGAAATGGCGAAAAAACGAAGTGAAACGGTCAAAAACCTGCAAAGAAAGGCCTTCATTCTTCATGACTCCAAAACTAATTTTGGACGAGTTTCCCGTGAGCAGGTTTGATAGAGACTTTTCGCCCTATAAGACGATGCTGAGTGTTTTCAAAAATCTGCTTCCATTTATTTCAAAGTACCACAAATGAGGTGTCAAGTCGACGAAATTGAGCATTTTCGACATTTTTTCCCCATCATTTAATTAAAAACAACATCAAAAGCCCATTTGTTAAGCATATTGCCAAGCGAAGGTCCACTAGAAGCTTTCTGAATCAGCCTCCTGAAGAAGTCCCATGAAAAAGACAGAAAATTAATAGGTGTCATAAAAGTCTCCTTCCATAGTCTCAGTGAACGTTTTTTTTCGCTTGATGGAAAAGGTTCAAGTGGACCAGTTCTGCTAGCAGTTACTCCTCAGGGAAACCACCCCAAGCGATGCAGATTTACGTGATCCGACATTAAACATTCCACATTGAACATTAAATCGCTTGAACCGACTTCACGCCTTTCCAAAAGCATCACTCATCGGTCATTCATATCACATGTTTTGAGTTGCTTCTGCAAGTTGATAGCTCAGAATAATGCACATGGCAGTTGGCACCAATGCTACGAGCGTCGTGCGGGGGTTAATTCCGGCTCGGCTCCTGCTCAAGCTAACCAAAACTTCAACCCTGCAGGACGGCAAACTGGTACCAGATCACCCTAGTAGAAAGAAAAGACTGATTCGTACGTCGACTGGCTCCTACAAGTCATTGTCACAGGCTGATTCACATTCAATAAGCCACTGCCATCCTGACTAGAAGTAGAATGTGTGTCTCATCCCAAAAAGAGATAATGTAGGGCAAAGACTTTACATTTCACGATGAGATGTGGGGGTGCGAGACGTTGTAGGCATTCAACTTAAGAAAAAAAAAGACAATTAACAGCTTAACATGCTTAAATTAGCGCGAGAGCCTCAATGAAGGCAAACCTATCAGTGCTCGGGAGCTTCAGTCAGCGGATTCTTGGTCCAAATGGCTTACCAGCTTCACCACCCGCCTCCTCCCTATCAATCGCGCTAGTGCTCGCACCATCACGTGCCGATCACGTGCCAGCGTGGACAATTTAACAGAGTAATAACCTCGTGTTCTCTTTCCCTCCCAGCTCATACACTCGCAGCTGCATACTTACCTGCTTAAAATCCAATTTTCACATTATCGACAACTCGCGAGAAAATTTAACTCAGTTGACACTGATAAACTTAGCACGACACATCGTATGCCGGCGCCATGCGTAACCAAGATCTCATCAGGTTGGCGGAAAAGTTCTGCCCATTTTCAAATTAGGCTTTCTTTTTATAAAAAGGCGTGAAAGATCAAAACTGTACAGCAATGTTACTGCGGGGTTCTTTCCATTCCTCGAGCACCTCACCTGGATACATGGGTACTTCACAACGCGCCGAAAGAGCGACCTTTAAAGCTGGACACCATCTCGATCGCTTGACATGAACTCAAACTATGGAGCGTCTCCGTCACATAACCTGGTACGGGAGGCGACTAGCAGTTAGGAGGAGCAATGCGCTTCTTACACCCAATGCAAGGAAGCCGACCTAACTTTTTTGGACGGAGGGCTGCTGCACCATCACGTTGAAGACGGACTGTGCGGACGAATTTTTCCCTCTGATCGACGATTCGCTTCAGATCTCGTAGCTGCTTTGCGTACGCATTGACCGAGGAAGCAGCTTCTTCATCCAGCAGTTTCACGACCCGCAGCTCCCTCAAGCTGAGTTCACAGGTAACCCAAACCTCACTTCGTCATCAAAACTGTAGGCTCCCGCTTTGAAGCATTAGCGTCGTGGAAGGTTGTCCGATAATTGAGGGCATCGTCCTTATTCAGCTCCATTATTTTGGCATCTGCAGCTATCATGCTGGCGTCAGGGTGGTGGAAGAAAGAGTTTGAGGAAGCGTCTGGAGGGGTCGGTGCCGATGGTAGCGGATAAAATCCTTGTCCATATTGCAGAAGAAGAAGCAGGAGTCAAGCGAGTGGTACTAATAGAAAGACCACCTTGATGTATAAGTGCTCACATTACCGGTTACCCCTCTTCAGGTAATGGGCAAGTATTTTGAGTTCGGAAAAGTGTGATAGAACTTTCTCGCCAACCTAATATGCCACCTGGAATTCAGCGGCGATAATAACCAGTAGGTGTGCAAAGTGGTTGGAATAAAGTGATAAAGTAATATTATCAATTATTTGGTATCTGCAGAGGCATGAATATTCAGTGGAAGTTTATGGATTTGATTGAATTTCCCATTTCTATAACAAAAACATCACGTAGACAAATGTGTTAGCGAACGACAGACAATACGTCTGCAATATGTATGTTCCGCCCACTTTTCATTCCTTGGGGAATCCTTTACGCTGACAATCTGTCTTGATGCCTCAAAAACCCTTTATATCCCGTGCCATTGGAATTGTCAAGCAAAATCCACCCTTAATTTTTCACTTGACCTTGTTGAACTCCAATAAAATGAAATGAACCCTTTATTATGGGGTTGTGTTAGTGCATGCGGGCAAAGGAGGAGGGCCTAACCTCTGGTCTCCAGCACCGAAGGGATTTGGGGACAGATCTCGTCGTACTTCACTGGCGCTAACTACTTCGTTGAGGGGAGAGTCCTAGGGTGAGGTGGGAGGGGGGCATGTATTTGCTTTCGAGAGAAATTTGCTGCGTTGAGGAAATTTTTTTTCTTGTTGTTACTCTTCATGCTTTCACATATACTATTTACCTCGCCCCCCCCCCGCTCGACAGTAAATTCTGAGCAAAACAGAAAAATTTTCATTAAATATCCGGAAAATGTGGTAGGAAGGTGGGAAAAGTTGGGAAGTTGGGTAGGGAGGGGAGGTGGAGGGTCGTAAGTCCCGAAAATTTTCCCAAGCGGCAGGAAGTGCCCTGCTCAAGGATTCTAGGACCTCCTGCACACGGGTTCGAAGCGATTTGTAGTAATGATTAGTAATAATGCGGATCACAAAACTGATGTGCGCCCCCTTCCCCCATTTTTATGCAGTAAGGAAAGGAGTAAGCGAAACAGCTGAAAAAACATGTTGGGTGACCCCAATGCACTTAAAGCTGCCCTCCGAACATAATAGATTGCAAAAATGACATATCTGTCATAAATAGTAACACAAAAAGTACTACATCCTCTCTCATCAACAACATAGCATCAAAGCAGAAAAGAACTCCGTTGATCTTTGACGCCCGGCCTCTGGCAGAAAGCGCAATTAGCATAAAAAGCGCTAACCAATCATAAACCATCTAGCCTAATTGAAATTAGGATTTGCCGGGGAATACGCGAGGGCATAATTTTTTATGTCATTAACAGTTAAATTTTATTTGGCGCCGAAAAAAAAATTCGAAAAATCACATCTAAACAAAAGAAGTTGACGTGCGCTACATGTGTCAAACACTTAGCTGATCGAGAGGATTTTGGCCCAGAGGTACTTGCTCCTTGATCTCAAAATGGCTGACGGAAGTGATGCACGGAGTTACCCGTGGTGCAACTAGTGGATGGGGTCCCTTTAGGGCCAACTGAGCCCTCCATGTTCTGGTTCAGAAGAATTTAGACTCCTCTGAGAGCGCTCATTACTCACAAGTGGTTCGTGTTAACTGCTGTGCGGACTACGGCATTCATTCGTTCGCACTAATTTTCCTGAAAGTCGCACGTCGAAGCGAAATATAAGGCGTTCCCCAAAGTGGGTAGGGGCGTGGTAAGAGTTGATCAGGCCAAAGCCTTGCACCCTTAATGTCCTTTTCCATATAATTCGACAAAATTGGGTTTGCTCGTGATTCATGTGCTGTATAAGCCCATGACCGTGATAAAAATCGGCCGTCTAGCACCACCACCGCTCTAAAGCTAGCCCTTCACAGGTCCATTCAACTACGCCCACGGCTTAACTCCCTCTACTCCAAGGAAAGAGAACTCGTTGACAAGGCCGCCTGGAAAGGGGGATATTCAGCGCGATATCATAAAATGTCGAGGTTTTCTTGGAAATTCTTCTCTATAGATAAAGGCTTTCTCAGCGAGCCAGTAAGCTAGCGTAAGTGTAAATTTCGGTGACTTTTTCTAGATAAAAGGAGTCCGCCGGCCTCTGGAAGAAAGCGCAATTAGCATAAAAAGCGCTAACCAATCATAAACCATCTAGCCTAATTGAAATTAGGATTTGCCGGGGAATACGCGAGGGCATAATTTTTTATGTCATTAACAGTTAAATTTTATTTGGCGCCGAAAAAAAATTCGAAAAATCACATCTAAACAAAAGAAGTTGACGTGCGCTACATGTGTCAAACACTTAGCTGATCGAGAGGATTTTGGCCCAGAGGTACTTGCTCCTTGATCTCAAAATGGCTGACGGAAGTGATGCACGGAGTTACCCGTGGTGCAACTAGTGGATGGGGTCCCTTTAGGGCCAACTGAGCCCTCCATGTTCTGGTTCAGAAGAATTTAGACTCCTCTGAGAGCGCTCATTACTCACAAGTGGTTCGTGTTAACTGCTGTGCGGACTACGGCATTCATTCGTTCGCACTAATTTTCCTGAAAGTCGCACGTCGAAGCGAAATATAAGGCGTTTCAGTGGGTAGGGGCGTGGTAAGAGTTGATCAGGCCAAAGCCTTGCACCCTTAATGTCCTTTTCCATATAATTCGACAAAATTGGGTTCGCTCATGATTCGTGTGCTGTATGGGCCCATGACCGTGATAAAAATCGGCCGTCTAGCACCACCACCGCTCTAAAGCTAGCCCTTCACAGGTCCATTCAACTACGCCCACGGCTTAACTCCCTCTACTCCAAGGAAAGAGAACTCGTTGACAAGGCCGCCTGGAAAGGGGGATATTCAGCGCGATATCATAAAATGTCGAGGTTTTCTTGGAAATTCTTCTCTATAGATAAAGGCTTTCTCAGCGAGCCAGTAAGCTAGCGTAAGTGTAAATTTCGGTGACTTTTTCTAGATAAAAGGAGATCGTTTAGCACGACCACCTCCCTCCATCGGTGCCCAGGATCT